TTGGTACCATCTCACTGGCACCTAACAACAACTTCTTGTAGTCCATAAATCTCTTCTACGCTTTATTATCTCATGTAAAATCAATCAGTGGGTTCTTAATTTTGAGTCCTGATGTGGTGCTATAAGAACCTAACTGCCAACTACAAGGTCAGTGGTTCAAACCCACAACTGCTCCTCAGAAACCCATACAGGGTGACTATGAGTCAGAACCAACTCAATGGCACTTAACAACAATTTCAGTTATTAAATTTTTCAATGATACCTTTTTAATTTGTCTTTTCTAAAATTAATTCAAATTCTTAAATTTTAAATCTATTTTCATTATGTATTTATTATTTTTGTAAGCATTTCCATCATAGTTTCCTTAGATGACCCCTCTGCTAACTCTTAGATCTGTAACACCAGAAGGTCTGCTTCTTTGAAGCACACATACACGCTTTTCTCTCGATTTATTCAGACCATGCTGTCTCATGAACATGATATGTGATTAAAATGTATATTTTCTTAGGTTCAATCTACTTCTGATTTGCCCCCCTTTTCAGAGTTTTCCCCTGCAGGGTTCTACACTGACATCTTGAATTGCTTACTGTGGTTCCTTTACCTACTGGTACTGAAATCTAATCTTTGTCCCTTTAAGACTATAAGATTTCAAGGAACGTCTCAAAGGTTGACAATTTTAACTAAGTGCAATCAAAACATACAAATGTAGTTAAGTATTGTTTCAAATAAAGTATCGTAGAAGTTCTGAAGTGATGATGTTTGTCAAGCTACAGTGATAAAGAAAACTTAATGAATAAGGTAGTATTTGAACTAGAACTTTAAGATGAAGGCTATAGTGAAGTAAGAAAGATCCTTATATTGCCCATTACCTTAAGAGATAAACTGCATATTGTTCCATATTCATTTCCAATAGAGCCCAAACCTTTTGAAGAGTATCTGAAACCACAATATTTTCCTTTGTGTCTAAAATAAATAAATAAATAAATAAATAAATAAATATGAACAACATTAAAGCTGTAAGGTCCCTGAAAGATAACATCAGTCAAAGTTATCATTTTACAAATGACAGTTGCAACTCAGAAAGCAGGGGGATCTGCAAAGTCATCAACTTTATTAGCAGTCAAACAAACCATGTTTGAAACATAGTTATAAAATCCCTAGGAGGGCGTTCTGCTCACTATATGTCAAGTTTCCTGCCATCTTTAGTTTAAAAACCATATAAAGTTTTTGACTGAACTGAAGAGAGTTATCAATGAATTTATAAATGTTTTATCACAGCAAAAATTCTGTAAGAATGGTCTTATCTCAGAAAAAAAAAAAAAAGATCCATCCATTTTTTTCTAAATATATTGACAAATGATATTAAAGGTCATTCTACTAAAGCATAACTCACAAATGAATGAAAACTAGAAATGCTTCTCCAAGCTTGATTCTGTGGATTATTTGGCAAGAAAAATGCAAATCCACAGAAAGTGCCTCAAACTTATAGATTAGAAGCTGATGTTCTTTCTCTAGTTTTTTTTTTCATAGTGGTTATCTCTATCTGAAATTAATTTCTTAGTATATTTGCTAATTTACTGTCTGCTTACCATAACTTAAAACATAAAACATATCAGGGCAGAAAACTTGTCTACTTGGTTGGCTTTTAGAAGGTGCTGTGCACACAAAGGTTTTATGTGTTGAGGGAAAGAAACTGAAATACTATTAATTCATTATTAAATTGCTCCATTTTTTGGTTTCTGAAAATAATTTTTAGAATATAATTTTTACTACAGCTTATATGAAAAACAAAATAATATTTTCAAATATTGAATTTGATGAATTCATTTTTTCTAATGAAAACACAACTATCAGGCAACAATCATGTTTTCTATTAGAGAATGATACAATGTATTTCTTGTTTTTACATATTTGTGTATCAGCATAGTGGTTACGAATCGGGCTGTGAACCTAAAGGTCAGCAGTTCGAAACTACCAGCTGCTCCGTGGGAGAAAGATGAGGCTTTCTACTCCCGTAAGGATTTACATCCTTGGAAACCCTGTACAGGGTCGCTATGGGTCGGAACCGACTCGACGGCACACAACAACAACAACAACAACAACAACAGTTTTTCTACTTAGATGGAAACTTTTACTACTTTCATTAAATGTTTCAGAGACAAATTTTTTAAGAAAATATTT